CCCCCCCCACCCCCACACACACACCCAAAAAAAATGCAATTTTTTCAAGTAAATAGCAAAACCTCATCATGCCATGGCATCAAAAATCTTATTTTAATATCTTGTTTTGCTTGCACAATTTATTTTCTATATCCATTCATTCTTGTTCCAAATTCCAATTTTCTTGATTATTCCTTACATGATCAACCATTTGGTTTATCATCACCAATTACTCTTCAAAATGTTGTTTTTGGAATTGCATCTAGTTCAAAATCATGGTCAAAGAGAAAAGAATATGTGAAACTTTGGTGGAAGCCAAATGAAATGAGGGGTTGTGTGTTTCTTGAAAAAGATTTGCCTAATAGTACAACTACTACAAATGGTTCAATTTCTCTTCCTCCAATTTGTATTTCAAATGATATTTCAAGATTCCCATATTCAAATAAAGGTGGGAGTCCATCAGCAATTAGAGTGGCACGTGTCGTGTCAGAGACAGTCGCGCTTTATCTTAATCATTCAGATGATGATGTGAAGTGGTTTGTTTTTGGAGATGATGACACTATTTTCTTCCAAGAAAATTTGGTGAAGACATTGTCTAAATATGACAATGGGCTTTGGTATTACATTGGGTCAAATTCAGAAAGTTTTATACAAAACAAGTTTTTCTCATTTGATATGGCTTTTGGTGGTGCTGGTTTTGCTATAAGTTATCCATTAGCTAAAATTTTGGCTAGAGTTTTTGATTCGTGTATAGAGAGATATGCACATCTTTATGGAAGTGATGGTAGAATTCATGCCTGTTTGACAGAACTTGGTGTTACATTAACACATGAGCCAGGCTTTCATCAGGTTCCATTCCCTTTTTTCCTTCTTCTTTTGTTTGGGTTTTGCTCGAGCTTATCTTCGTGTAATCTTATTAGTTACAATTTTGAGATGTGTGACTCTTTTTGAAATACTGTGTGAATCTGAGATGCTTCGTCTATCTTGTGACTTTAAGTCTCGTATTTAATTTGATAGCATAGTCAATTACTCATTAATCGAATGTAATAGTAAAATCATATTTTTTTTTTTTATCAAATCAAAGTAAATGAACTTTTCCTAATATGATTACAACATCATTTGGTGATGCATCAACTATTTGTCAATAAGTCATAAAATATGAATGACTAGTCAAGTTCAGTTACTTTAATGTAACAAAATTGGTTTCGAAATTATATAAATGTCAGTGATTATACGTGAAATTAACTTTTTTGATTTTTTCGTGGCAAAGCATAATTGACACCAATTTTCTTGTATTTCTAGATGGATTTTCTTGGAAATGCATTTGGATTATTAGCTGCACATCCAATTAGACCTTTGGTATCACTACATCACATGGAGAAAATTGATCCAATTTTCCCTAACATGACAAGAATGAAGTCCCTGGAGCATTTGTACCATGCTGCAAATTTTGATCCACAAAGAATTTTGCAGCAAACAGTATGCTACGATCGACGATTTTCGTGGACAGTGTCAGTGTCATGGGGCTATGTTGTACAAGTTTTTGAGAACAATGTACAATTGCCTGATGCACTACGTGTGCAGGAGAGTTACTTGCCCTGGAAAAAGAATGCTTATAGTACACTTTATGAGTTTAATACAAGGAAATTTGAGGTTGATATATGTAAAAGACAACTTGTTTATTTCTTGGATGAAGTATCTTTGGGAGTTGATGGAATAAAAACTATTTACAAGAAGAGAGCATATGATAATTGCACATTTACCAAGAATTCACCAAGGAAATTAGATGAAATTAGAGTATTCTCTCACAAGTTAGAGCTTGACAAAAAGAAGGTATGTTATCGTACTTTTATTTTTAGTCTGGTTAAAAAAATAAAGTATTTTTAGTTTTTGGTAAAATTTTAACTCTATTATTCAAATTTTACTCCATTAAGGGGTAGAGCTAGAGAGGCGGAAGAGGGTTTCATCCAAATCTCTTTCGCTGAAAAGTTAAAGTAATTACATTCTCTTATAACAAAAACACGAAAAGTTCAAGACCATAAGATGTCAGATTGACATTTTGGTGTGTTACATACACTTTTAGTTTAAAACTATGAGATTTGAAAGTTTTATCACTTATATGTATTTTTTAACTTACTGTCCTGGCAAAATAAGATAACTTTACGTTCCTATTATCATGACACTTATATTTTTAAAAAAAATATTTTTAACATTTTGTTTAATGTGATATGCAGTTGGTAGCACCAAGAAGGCATTGCTGTGATATATTAACTTCTACATCTGATCAAGTGATGGAAATAGGGATAAGAGAATGCAAAGAAGATGAACTTATTTACATGCATAATTAGAGATGAAATTATTATTTTTCTTTGCTTGTGACATAATTTAGATAAAAAAGATCCAGAGTCAGATAAATAAACAGGGATGTCATAATTAATTGTTATTGTATATGTATTAATTTTACTTAGTTTAGATATATACTTTACTAAAGCAATTTAGAGAGCTATTAGGACTTTTTTTTATCAAGAAAAATCTCAAATTTGAAGGAAAGTTAAAGAATTTTTAAAATCATTGTACATATTTTTTTATATAATGTCTATAGTTTAATATGTCGTAGCAAGTTATTTGCTTTATTATTATATCATATTACTATAGTTAATTCTACTTATTATGAATAATCACTTATAATCATCTTTTTAAGTTTGGACTGATTCGTAAGTGATTTATCCCTTTTCATTTTTTTTCAAATTTTGAGTAACTCTTTCGTCATTTTTTCATTGTTATTTTGATCTGAGACTTTAAACTCCAAAAAAGCGTATATTCTATATAAAGTTATGTCATATTTTATTTTAAAAAAAATTATTTTCTTTTGTTAAATTCAGCGCATCAAAACTCGTCATACGTCCTCATCGATCCACCCTAAACACTATGCATAATTTGACTAGTATACAAACATTATTATTTATGAATATATAATATGTGTTGATAGGAAGTTGGCCTTTTTGTTAGGCCACCTAACTTTGCTAATGTGTCCATAATCTATTAGCACTAATTAATTAATTGCCAAAATTTTCTTGATTGTAGTCAACTTTCACATCATGATATTCATTGACTCAAATATATCCACTTGTCTTCATGTGATTCAGTCCTCTATTAAAAATGTTAGAAACTAGAATAATGAAACACAACGAGTGGTGAGTACTGATTCATTCTTAATTAGAATTTTCGTGTTCAAATATTTTTTAAGTATAAAATTATTTTTATTAGAAAATATTTTATTAATAACATTAAACTTTTAAATTAAATTAAATTTTAAAATAAATATCGATCACCAGATAAAAAATAAAAATAAAAATTGAAAAGCTAGTTCCTAGTATTAAGTCGGTCAACATTATGTCCCACATTAATTTGTATTGGGCGAAATTTGCGGGTCTAAAAAGCTTATAAAGTTTTTTCCTCATTCATGTACTCGTGAACTTCTTTTTATTCCGATAAAATTAGCTTACGAAAATATAATTTTCTTGTTATTAAAATAAGTTAATGATAGGTCCATTTGTAAATTTTTTCTTATTTATGCTAGTTTTTATTTAAATACACATTGAAACAATAATTTCCTTTTATGATGCATAAATTTTTATAACTCGACATCATAATTTCATATAAGTTATCGCTCAGGCTTTTAAAAAACTTAAATCTCATTAGACATAAATTCAATGTCAGGAATAAGAATTAAAGATCAATTTATTATTCTTCTCATATGATTCACTCATTTATTAACTTAATACATTTTTGATCCGTAAAGTCTATTCATCATAACTCATATATTGATATGTTGTTCAAATTGATCCATGAAAATCTTATCAAAATATTTTTAAAAATCACATTTTTTGTTTGATATGTTAGATGTCATTATAATAAAGAAAATTTTATTTTATTACAAATTTAAACTGATAACAAAAAAAAACAAATTAAAACACAACAAGAACTAGTCCAATTATAGCTTGTCTTAGTCCAGACTTATTTTAATTCAAATAACTTTTAGACGGAATTTTGTATCGGGAAACTTATATAAATATACTATAACAATAAAATATTTACTATTTGTAGCAATAACATTTTTTTTATTTGATCACTTGTAATTCATTTATAATACAAGTTGAATATATATTACAAAGAACAATTTATTATTCACATGTAATACAAGTTTTAATGATGGATAATGCATTTATTACACATTTTAATACACTTATAATACAATGTGACAATTTTTTACCAAACAAACATAAGATATTTCAAAAACAATTATATTTCAAATATATTGCATACATAATTCACTTTTAATACATATTACAGATTTATCACAGTATTACTACAAATAATAATAAACAAAAAGTATCGCTAAAATCAGTAATTATTTTTAAAAATGTATTAATTCATGTAATTTTTTGCGGTTCTAAATTATTTACACTACTAGACTAGATACGTCAATTTGGGCCAATTGGGCCGAGAAAACAAACTGATCGAAACAACATGGGCTATTCATTTGGGGAAGTTACGTATGTACCCGCTCAATATTAAATTAAGATATTCATACATATAAACATTTACGGAAACACTTAGATACATTTTACTTTGCAATATTGTATATTTTATTAAATTTTGGTGCCTGTAGATATGTTCAAGTACATGTATCTCGGATATAAATGGTCAAATTAAGTGTAATTTGTTCTAGATACATTGTATCCAAGTGAAATCGCATGTATTTGAGATACATAACAATATCTTATTCGCCTCTCTCCTATCTCACGCACTGCTCTCCCATCTCAATTGTCACTCTTCGTCTCATGTATTTGGGATACATACGAATCTTGCACACCTCCCTTCCCAATCTCGCTCATTTGTCTCCCTATTTTTGTGTCTATTGTAAAGCATTTTTTTTAATAGAACCTTAAGGAGTAAATAATGAAATTATTAATTAATAATTTCTTAAGGTTCGTATAAAAAATGAAGAGGGAGGGTAACTTATATTATAGTTACATTATGAATAAATCATGATATAAATGGAAAGAGCACTTCGTGAAACAATAATATTTATATAGAGATATTTAAGTTGGTGAGTGTGAGGGTACACTTGCACTCACTATAAGTTAATGGAAAAACCAAAATTGACTCGAATTGATATATCTTTGAAAACCAATTAAATTGATTTTCTTTTTATTGTTTCCTTTTATTTTATAGTATTAGACTAAGCACCAAAAATATTACTATAGTTCTAGAAGCCATAAATGTAAGAGGAGTTTGTCAACGTGAGATCTTCCATGTTACTCACTAATTGTCATATACTTCTTATAAAAAATTAAGAAGATAATTTAATTTGATTATAAAATATTTTTTTTTATTATTATTATATTAATCGATCTCCACATAAAGATGAAAACTATGAATAATTAATTATATTTTTATTTTAATTTTTTAAAAACTCATTTATTTAAAACTATGTATTATAAGTTAAATAAAATGGATCGAGGGAGCATATTCAAACTTTTACCTTTTCTTTCTAGGTCATAATATTCAAACTTATACGCTCACGTTCCATATAAGATCAGCCTCCATATTTAGTGGTCATCTAATGATCTAATCCATTAAATCTACTTTTAATTGTTTGATTAATTATAAATGTAATTGTGGAACTTGACACTAAGTTCAAATCATTTTAATTATCCTATGCAACAATTGGTTTATCATAATCTAATTATTAGGTATATTACAATCCATATATCCTTAAATCATGTATATAAATTTCAATGTAAAGATTATAATAGAAAGTAATATTATAGAAAAATTATATAATTGAACATATTTCCCTACCATATTATTATTATTATTATTATTATTATTATTATTATTATTATTATTATTATTATTATTATTATTATTATTATTATCTATGCTTTTAAATATTACGTATCTTACACTTACAGACATGTATTGTTGCTATCATATACATAAAATAGGGAGATAGGTGAGCGAGATTGGGAAGGGTGACAAGCGAGATTCATATGTATCCCATTACATATGAATCACACTAGATACATATATTTGTATATGTCTGGAGAGAGGTTAGAAAGACGAGCGAGATTTACTATATAGCCCAGATATACATGCGAATCTACTTGGATACAATGTATGTAGAATAAATTACACCTAAATTTGAACTCATGTATCTGAGATACATGTATCTGGATGTAACTAGAGACACCAAAATCTAATAAGATACATAACATTGCAAACTAGAGTGTATCTAAGTAATTAAGTACTAAATAGAATTTATATATGTAAGTTTCCAATATATAGTCATACAAATATATATGACTAATTTGAACAACAAGTTTCAATATTTTCATATGCAAACTTCATATCCAATTAAACATCGTCACATAAATTAGAGTGATTAGAGTATACATATATATGTACAAACTATTTACACAAGTTAAAAGTGAAAGATCAAATGTAGAAAATATATATATTAGTGAATAAAGTGAACAATCGAAATAATTCAGAAATTTTGTGATTAAACACTTTTGTAGTTAATGAACTTCCCAACTACATACTACTAATCAAACCTTCCATTGGAACAAAATGGAATTAGTCAACTTCCCACCCAAAACCATAAAAAATGCAAAATAATTAAAATAAAAAGTCAACAATTATGGCTATGCATATGACTTTTCTACCCTCTACTTGAAGTTACAAGTTTATTAAATGGTGCACCATGTGAAGTTTTACATACCATCTCATATTTTTTTTCCATCAAAATATGTCTTCCTCAAAATTAATCTCTTGTCTATTTTTCCTTTCATCCATTGCAATAGTGATATCCACAGATCCATTATTCCATTTTTGTTCAAACCATGAAAATTTCACAGCCAATAGTTACTATGCACAAAATTTAAAAAATCTCTTAGGTGATCTCTACTTGAAAACACCTCCAACAGGGTTCTCAACAAGCTCAATTGGGCAAAATCATGATCAAACAAATGGACTTTCTCTATGTCGCGGCGATGTTACAAGCAACAATTGCAAGTCTTGTGTATTAGATGCTAGTGAAGAACTAGGAAAACGTTGTCCTTACGATAAAGAAGCTATAATATGGTATGATAATTGTCTCTTGAAATATTCTGATAAAGATTTCTTAGGAAATATCGATAACACGTACAAGTTTTACATGTGGAATGTTCGCGTTGTGAGTAATCCTGAATATTTCAATGCAAAAACTAAGGAATTGTTGGGAAGCTTGAGTGAAAATGCTTATAAGACGACGAATTTGTATGCAATTGGAGAAATGGAGATTGAAGAAAATAAGAAATTGTATGGATTGGTTCAATGTACAAGAGATCTTTCAAATGAGGATTGTAAGAAGTGTGTTGATGGTATTATTACTGAAATTCCAAGTTGTTGTGATGGAAAAGAAGGTGGAAGAGTTGTTAGTGGAAGTTGTAACTTTAGATATGAAATATACCCTTTTGTTAATATTCCTTAGAACTTAGAAACTATATGATATATGCTAT